TTCTGAATACTTTGAATGCTACTTTCAGCTTCTATCTATTTGTGATGTTGCCCTATCTTTATCTAGTCCCACTGATGATATTTATCTGACAGTTAAGACAATTGAATTATACTGGTCTCAGCTTTTTTACGATTTTTGAAGATCTATCTGTAAGTTGGTTACTAATGATTTTTCTAAAACTGCTAACAATTTTATGGTTTATCATCCTTATTGCTTGGAAGTTCAGCTTCTCAATAATGTCTAAATTGACTCCGATTTATTATGAAAACTAACTTCTATATATTCAGAATGCTAATCGATCACATATTTGAACATACGCATATAGTTAGACAAGACTACTAGAACGGTTTTCATGTACAACATTATCTTAATTTTCGGAGAATAATTCCTGTTAAAAATCGACTTTTGTGTCTTTCTTATCCGTGATATTATTGAATGCATACTCTTGTGTGGAAATCGACCCAGGGATCTTTATGTTTTGTAGCCAGTATCTTATTATGTGCTGACCGGTAATTAGCTTTGAGATGGATTACCTGAAGTTCTAATGAAAAGCTGTAGCCTGTCGAGTCAGTCACGTCAGTATTAAGGCAGTCACTTACCGATGAGATTAGATAAGGATCGCAGGTTGAGTATATCTGAGCATACGGACCACTGAGGTTCAATTTAATGGCTCTAAAATATAGTGCTTTCCATAAGGTTTGATGGTTCTAGTTTCAATAAGCACTGCAAGACAGCCTCAAACTTACATCATCATTCTGTGATAAAAATCCCCTCAACAGAATATAAAACATTTCCACAAGACTATCACACTAAATAAATTTTGTTTGTTCATTATTAGTGTCTGATATATTATACGTGTTTGTCCATCGATTAGATTGTTAACAGTAAGTTTGAGTCCAGAAAAGAATATATACGCTATACGATATTTCACACTTGACTCTAAAGATTTCTTTTCCAACAACCCAAACAATATGGACATTATTTACTCATATTTTCTGTTGTTCTGTCAATGAGTATTTCTCACTAAATTAATGGCGTGTTACTGTTTTCAAGCACATTTTCAACTCTTTCATATTAGAAAATTACTTAGTAGAGTATGTGTAATAATATAAATTAGTTTGTGTGTGTCTATATGTACCACACATAGTAATCTCTTCATTCGATCAATCAATATTCGTATATTAATAGGTCTTTACTTTTTAATAAAGGTATTGTGCGTGAACACAATTTGTTACAGTACTATTAAAGTCTTTGGCGTGTGCCTAAGATTATTAATTGTTTGCCAGTATTGTCAATATGGTAATAGACTCAAAACATTTTTTTCTTAAATCATACCAAAAGTTTAACAGATTAGTTTAAACAAGCAATAGTTTTAAGTATTAACTTATCTATATTTTTAGGAATTCATCTTTTAGAAACTTTTTTGAATGTAAAGCACAGTTTGAAGGATGATATTTGTATGTATCTTAGATTGTAGTTCTTCATAAGAGCAAAGAACTGTTTTTAGCACTAGAAAGGGTTGATATTAAGTATGGAAGAAATAATAGGGTGTAACAAAGAAAATGTAACGTGAACGAGGTAATCTTGGGTAAAGGTAGAAGTATGTTGGTGGCTGTTGCTTCTCGATCAGCCACACTATTAAAGGATACTCCTACTTGAATTACCTAAAAAGAAAATTGTGTTAGGAGTACTAGTCTTAACCACCTAGAAGTTTGAACTCCAAGCCGAAGGGACACTTGTCACTCAGCCTTTTATCTAGTAGTTCTTGATGTGCTAAGTTCGTACTTTAAAGGCCTTACCTCCGGCGACGGAATTCCGTGGGCCAAGATGAGATTTGATATTTTGAGAAGGCAACATCAATGCAGATACCACTTATCCTATTAAAGTACCTTTCTGACGTTACAGCCCCATGACAGTCAGCAGTACGAATTCCCCTTCATACATTAAGTTGCTACTTTTAGTCCTATCACTCTCCAACTGATCTGCCTGGTTCGATAGAACCTAAATCAACAAGTGCCCCAGCCAATATAGCTCAAATAGACCATCACGGGAAGCAACCTTGAGCCCCATGCTAAAGTAGCAACTGTACTCCGGGTCGCAGTGGAAAATGTTTCTGTTGAACAGTTTTGACTGAAATTAACTTTCAACAGAAATGAATTTTTAGTAACCACCTAATTCATCCAAATTTCGGCTGTGGTTCAAGTTTAATTTATCATACAGGCATATGTTTTACTTGCTCACACCATACTAGAAATTCGTATATGAATTACCATGTTTAACCAATTGGTTATTTTTTAATGAAATTGTTGCACCATAGGTTCATGATTACTTTGAGGTCTGTTCACTGGCTGTACCATTGTAGCTTTAGCTTGTAGTGTGGCGTCGAGTCGCAATCGGCTATGATCACCACTACAGGAAAGTTGCGTACCAAAATATCAGAAGGCAATTGAAGGTTGTAGCGATATATATTTGTTGGTGATCTCGTAGTATCGAAAGAATACCGAGATCGTACCAAAGGAGTACAATCGAATTTACTTAGAAAACGTAAGTTCGTGCAAGGTCACAATCAAAGGAAGAAAGAATGGAAGAATAATGGATGTCTTTAGTACAGTTTTTAAAAAAACAAGCACAATAAAACAATTACTGGTACAATTGGTTATAATAATAATTGTTTCCATTAAGCCAATCGCGTTCTCTTGATAAAAGTAGGTCACTACAAGTTCATTGTCGATTTTGAAAAAGATTTCTTCCACTTAATAATTCTCTAAATTTATGGATTTTGAAAGTTTATCCTGTATAATAAGATGATTTTTATTTGTTTGAATATTCTGCATAAGTCAGTTCACTTGGAAGACAGTCTTCACCACGTAATTCCATCAATTTTAAGATCCGTGTAAATTAAATAGTATAAAACCAACCACTTATTTTTAGCCTATGACTCAGTAGTACATAGCTACAATTTTGGGACTTGGCATTAAACGATTTATCTTTATATCATACAATTTTTCCTACTGATAAATTTGAGTAAAGCAAAAATCACGAACACAGTAGAATAACATGAATGCAGCTTATTTTGTGTTTCCTATTCAGCTGCTTATAACCTAGAATTAATTATACAAATTATTTGCAAAGCAAAATACTGTACATAGTTTATATTATAATAGTATCAGAAATGTCTCTATCGATGAGAATCAATAAGACTGCGATAAACTATAAAACAATTGGAAGAGTTATCAAAGTAGTTAAATCTTGAAGAATGTTATTAATTCTAAGCTGTGAGTGGTTAAAGTGAAGCCATAAAATAAACTGAGTTCATGTTATTCTGATATGTTTGTTGTTTTTGATATATTACAATAATCACCTGATTCAGTCTATGAGTAACTGTTCCATACTTATCATAATTAATCTCTTCTAGTCATAACTTTCCACTAGAATTTTGTGTGGTTAAGTGTTTTATGAAACTTACTTCTATTTGAAAATACCACTGTTTTCAATAATTATTCGTTTACAACCAGTTTACAACAAAAATCAACTTCACAAATTGTTTTTTTGGAAGGGGGGAAATTTTAAAAAATTCACGGTTTATATTATCTCACCGACATTGAATAGAGAATAACCAAGAAGCTAGTAAGCATTAAATAAGTCTCAATCTAATACTCATAATTCCTACATGTTATCTCTCTTATTTATTAATTACAATTTCAAGTGTCACTTTATAACCACATTATAGTTGTGTGTTGTTCCTTCAAACTCTGTTAATCCATCATGCTTGATGCTCCAAAACCAATTTCCATTGTACTTTTCTCTAGTTGCTTGGTTTCTTTTTTAGAAGAATGGCTAAATTACTATCTTTATTAGTTTTCTCGTTAGTTGGTATTGAAAATTTATTTTTTATCATCACATGAATTCGGAGATTGATCTATTTTCATAAGTTAATAATGTAACTTCAAGTCAGTTGATAGAAAAGTTGTATGTATCATTACTTGTACATATTTAACTTGGTGTATGTACTATCTTATGCATTTTAAAAAGGAATTTCAGAAAATAACTTCCCATTAATAAAATGAATAACAACAGTGATAAAAAAAATGTAGAAAAGTTGGTAGATCTACATTTCAGTAGTCCTGAACAATCATTAGCTTTTTTTTCAGATTTAAGTGAAACTTACTTTCTAGTGGCTAGGAACTTTTACACTAAGTAACAAAGAAGTAAATTCTGTATGGTTTTAAGTAATTCTTTTTATGTTCCATACAAATGTGAGATACGTTGGGAAAGCCATCGAATGAGTGCTTTTAAAGTTAGGAGTAGGGTTATTAAAAAAATTGATTAGTTTGCGAGCTGAACCTCTTGGGATATAAATACCAGTCAACTGTCAAAAAAATAATACTCGTCGCCAATCGACGTCACCTAGTGAAATATTATGTATCTAGCCTACGGTTGTTCATCAGTACATTACCACTCCCCCTAAATAGGAATGACCCAAAGATATTCAGGTTATGCAGCAAGTTATTACAATAAAACAAGATACCTTGCAATATTCTTATTTTCTCGCTGGGTTTTGTTGCAGATTATTTACATTATCGTAAATGAACTATTTAAGTCTCTGCATATTTCTCATCCCCTCATATTTAAAACTTCATAGTTTACCAGCGTTTTTGTAATATTAAGGCAGTTGACTTGTACGGAGCTGAGACCCTTGTTTAAAAATATATTAAGCGTTCCTTCAAGTGATTTATATAGGTGTAACTGAATGATAAGGAAGAAATTATTTGTCTTTAAAAAAAGTCCTCATCAATTTTTTCCCGTTGACAAAATCCGCTTTTAGCAAGCTAGTCAATTATCAGGCATAAAGAATATCTCATAATAAATTTTACTGTTTTTAACCACAAACACTTTGAACGCCTCAAACTAGGTATGATCACTTTCTACAAGTTTTTCAAGGTTGTGGAAAAAATCAAGCTTTTGTTATTTAGTTATCTTTTTTTGTATCTTCTCTCCAGACTGTTATTTTTGATGTACTAATCAACAACTCAAATGTTCAAGAATTTGCCTCTTAATTGAAATGAGTGTATTTGAACGTCTTCAACAAAAATTGGCCAAATGTTCCACATCTTCTCGCGGTCAAGAAACTGCACAGATTTATCATAAAAATAAGTCAACTTCAGAACAAGCTATTTTTTTGGATGGTGTAGTTACAACAACTGATGATCGTTCAACAACAAATACCCTTCCATTATGCCATAATCATTCACAAACTTGGAGTGTTGAATCTCATATGGCTTCCAAGATAGCTAACAGCTATTCAAACCCATCTCTGCACACAGTTGGAACAGTTAATTCCAAAGGTAATGCAACTCCAGATACGGAAATTGATGTGCCCAAGTCAAATTTTAGTCACAGTCAAGATCATTTGAATACACCCAGTAATAGTTCATATCAACGTCAACCACAACAACCTAGAAGAAAACGAGCAAAAACCCCGGTTAGTTCTTTCTATCGTGTTAGCAGTGATGATGATTGTGATACATGCGATGAAGATGAAGAAGATGATGTTGAAAATAATAATAATAATGAAGAATACCTGGATCAGTGTGACGATTTAATTACCAAACAATCTGCTGCATTTGAACGTAGATCACAACGTCTACGTCGTAGTATTGACCGGGCTAAAGCAGCTTTACCTGCTGATTTTGCTGATCGTATTGAGATCTCAGATTCACTTGGTGATTTACCTAACCAAGAATCGTCTAGTGGGGCACAACTTCAGAAACATCATCGGAGTGTCAGTAATCTTGGTGTAGATTTAACTGATCAATTAAGCAATCGTGATTCAGATTCTGAAGAAAATGTAAATAATAGTAATAATGTAAATGGACACTATGAATCTCAAGAAACCTCAAACTCAAATGAAAATCGTACGAAATCAATTATAAAAGAAGATAAATATTCAGAAGTTAGTGATACATTCAAAATGAAATCAACTGATTTAGTAATACCAAATGAGTAAGTACTTTAAAAAAAGAAACATTTTGTTATTCAATTACTTGTGGAATTATTTGATTTGAATTGAAGTTATACTAAAGATTGTTGATAGTTCTAGAAATATCACTTTCTGACAAATGACGGATGATGCTAAAACTTTAACTGATTATACATTAAACGTTTTAGTTATTAGTATCAGAAGGGGTTTTGTGGAGATTGTAGTAATTTCAATAGTTGAGATCATTAGATCATGGTGGTCTAGCTTCAATTGACTTATGATCTCAACTATTGGTTTTAGTTATTAGTTAAAAGCTTTACGAAAATATTTCAACTATGTATGATGCCTATTTTGGTTAAGGATTTTGTACATTACAAATGGGAAACATTCATTCAGACTCAAAACAAAAAAGTAGAGAGTGGTTCAGCTAAGATATCTCTTCGACTGTTATATTGTCAAGGCTATCTAACAGTAAATATCCACTGATTGTTTAAAAAACCGATCATTGATAATCTCCATGTTTTGTTGATGAGAATAATTTTTGAAGATGGTAATGAAGTTAACGTAATGTTAAATATGTTATTCTTATTGAGAAAATAAATTTAGAATTGTAACTGGATCCGAAGGTTAGTCAAAGATACCATGGAAACTGGATAAAGCTATTTACTTATGATAATGCATTCTATCACGTGATAAGATTGATTTTAAATTGAAATGTACTAAACAAACATAAAATAAATAAGAAATCAATTCGGGATAACAATTTGACAACGGGTATCAATGGTTTAATGGTTAAAGCGTCCAGCACTCAGCTAGCCACAAAGTAACAGATACAAACCTCTATCTGAAGTTTGTGCTGATGATGTCGTTCAGAAGAACGATGAAAGCTCCACGACCAAACCATCCAGCTCGGAGAACAAAACTCCACCAAAAAAAAACCTCGATCCACTGTGGGTTTAGCAATCAAATAGTGTCGCTTGACTTCTTCACATATTTAGTATAGCTCAGAATCGTGTAAACAAGCACACACTTGACAATTGAGTTCCATTGATCCAAAGCATGAATAAGTTATGGTTTTTAAAATAAAAGAATAAGATAATGGGAGGGAAAACTGTTGAATAGGTTTATTTGGTAAACAATATACATGACAAAAACATTAGGGATGCTGATGTTGTAAATATGCACTCTTTGTCCGTTGCAACCAAGTAACCGGTGTTAGTATGATACCCTGTTACTCCACTTTTAATTATTTGGAAGCCTCAAATATTGTTTCGGATGAATAAATTGGTAGACTAATGAATTTACACTAGAAGTCGCTTACGTCACAATAGACCTTACATAATTTCAATGTAATTTATAAAATTGCAAGATAATTTTTATTGTCTAGAAAAATTTGTGATCACTTAGTGCATTACATAATGCTATTTATTTACTTTATAAAGACCAGATCAACACACTAATTCTGTGATTTATATATAGTTTTCAGTTTTGTATTGATTTTCAATTCACACCGACAAATTTATCTTACAATTAGGTAGTAAATTTAAGTGAAATATCCAGCATTTTTCTAGTTCATATATCTTGCTTACTTACGTTTTAAATCCATTATATGAGTGAAATTTTCGAATTATTAAAATTGCTGGGAAAAACAATCCATCTTTCATTTACCTTCGTAACAATAAAATCTTCTTATTAAGAACACTTAAATTTAAGATTCACTGTAAGTATGATGGAATGGTCTAATAAAATTCAATTAACCAGCTTTTTGATTGGTCAATACTATTGTATGCTATTCCTGATAGCATAGTAATAACGCTAGAATGTAGGCAATTACTCTGTTATGAAATGATGACTAGTTAGTGCTTGAACTGAAAGTTTAGAAATCCAGTATAGAATTATGAAAATTTTACGAATTTTTGACTGGTGCCAAGCAGTCTCATACAGAGTTCAATTTTAAAAGTGAACTTCCAATTACTTTACGATGTTTAACAGTTTTTTTTTACATGTATTAACCACTCACATACACCATGTGTATTCAACTTTAGTTTCTCACTTGTTTTATGGAGAGATGAAACTTGTTGAGTTAATTGTCTAAAATGTTCGATTGTTTCAGTATGAAAGCTAAAATTCAACCATATTCAAATGAAAACTGAGGTTATTATTTATTCGTGATGAAGTTATTCACTACTAAAGCACATAAAATCACAGTAGTTAAGTTTCCAATTCAACTGTCTCCTATTTTATACCATACCATGTTGGATATTATTTATTTTATTGTTGAGAATGCATATTGAATAGTGACTTGAAAATAATGACTCTACATTGGTCATTGACAATCATCATAAGAATTTATCTGGATACTCTGAACTATTGTACATTTTTTCAAAATACAAATCTATGGAATTTATTACTATTAAAGCTTTTACTACATGTTATAAATAGGCAAGTTAAACGACATTAATCACACTCGTTTATAGGTTTCTTAAGATTAAAAAATCTTCATGATAACAATTAGTCAACGTTTCTTTAGATATTACATAAACTGTGCATTGAAATCGCCACTTCTAATGAACTGTAGTTTCAAATTTTATCAGTCCATTTATAGTGACTTATTCATTTCGTTTGATAATTGTAATTTAGCTGCCAATCAATATCGAAATGTTAAAAATAAGAATAAATACTTCAAATAAATATGTGGTATCACTTTTATTCTATTCATGATTACAATCTCGGTGTTTTTAGTTGTGTGTAATTCAACCAAAGTCATCACGCGTTTCACTGGTATGATTGAGTTTACTTTTGATTGTCTACATCTAGTGAGCGAAATATATTTAAATGTGTTATTTACACATATGCTATGCGGATAAAATCACGTAACTGAATTGCTAGTTTCCTTTTAGTTGCGATTCGCAATAACTATGCAATGATGGCTGGTTAGACGTGAGAGCATTTCTAAAAATAACAAAATCCACAAGTTGAATAGAGTTGTGTTTAAAAGTATGTTTGTAAACTGACGTTATATTATTTTGTGGTTAGTTCTATCATCAATTCATTTCATCAGTCAAAAAGTGAAACGTATGCACAATAGCTGTTCGAATCCGTCTAATTTATACTTCATAGTTTTTCTTGCTCCATTTTATCGACAGTGCTTTGTATTTTAAAAGACTATATGTGTAAGCCAGTTTGAATGTCATGGTAACATTTATCTGTGTACTTTTAGGACCTGTTAAATGTCTTGTAATTTAATTATCTAATATCTGATAGTTTGATATCCTTGAAGATGAACTCGTTTCCTAAATGTTAAATGAACTAGATCTCCTATCTTATTGTTGAATACATGAAATGTTCAATAACAGCCGATTGTAAGAATGTTACACAAGAGTTAGGTCAAGTCGAAAAGTTACAGATTGGAATCGCTTTAGATTAATTACATTCACACGTTCGCCTAGTTAATTTATAACTAGTTAACAGTACAAACAATTCTTATAATTCTATATATTTCTATAAAAATGGTATAAATTATGAAATAAGAAAGATTGGTTCAGCGAAGAGTTCTGTTTTCGGCGAATTCATCTCCAAAGCCTTTAACAATAAAACTATTATTAGTTTCCCTGATTTAGGAAAGATAACGTTTTGATACGTTTGTTTATTCTACCTCACTGTTACCATGTTTTACAACAGTGAATACTAGTATTTCTACATTATAAAAGCAGTTGAAAGAAATCCATGGAATGAATGAATTCATATTATAGTGTATGGTTTGTTTCTCTAGCTTTATGAATTATTCTTGGGATATTATTATTCATTTTAATTAATAATAATTTCATTCACATATTTTGTTAGTCTTTAAATGTGTTGGATACAGCTAGGTAAAAGTACTCATAGGTTTAACGCTTATTGAACTTACCTTTTAATCTCAGTGTGGTTAACAGTAAACAAAAAGAGTGATAAGAATTCATCTAATCCGAAAAAAGACGAAAAGTTTAATCGAGAAGAATATCTTAAATATTGAAACGAAATAATCAAGCTGATTTGTATACAAAGTTTAGTGGTCAAAACAGTTACCGTATACCACGTGCACCGAATAATAGATATAGCTAATCAAAGATGAGAAAAGAAATAAAGTGGTTTCGGTTTGTGAAAACTAAAAGTCTGCAAACCTTCTATTAGCTCTGGTTAGTTGTGTTTGATAGTAAAGAAATTTCTTTAATAAGCGTGAATATTATTTCCTTACTTCTTTAAATATATACACTAAATTAGGGTAATGAGCATATCAAAACTGTAATGTTTGACCGGGGTTTACAAAAACATCAGTGATCCAATCAATAATATAAAGGTTTGCGTAAACTATAATTGGTTTGAACCACGTATTGACTTTAAAAACTATGAAGCATTGGACATTCTTTTAGCTTTAGTATGGGACTCTTCAGACACATCTATCTATGATCTCACCGAAGATCGAACCCAAAACCTTTCAGGTCTCCCAGCGAACCCTTGAATTCTACACCACTGGGTCTGAACCTAGCTGTTTACCCTTTTAATATCAACCACTCTGTTAAATGATTGAACTGTGTTTCAGGAAAATAAGTGAAAAAGTCTCACCCAGAACTCTCCATTTTTGCAATTATTTAGTGATCAGTGGTGCAAATAATATTGGTGTTTATCGACACTAAAAATATCGTATAAATATCAAACTGTTACTCTTTGAACTGAACTTTATTCACAAGAAAGGAAACAAATATGGCCAAATTTGGGGCAAATTGATTTTTAAACTTAGACAAGGTGAAATTTATTAGAACTACTTAATTTATCGTTAAATATAAACTTGTATTCGGCATTTCAGTTTATGAATTCATATTATTGAAAATTATTTGTATAAATGTCAGTATCTTTCCAGTGGATAAGATAAGAAACCAATATCGCACTATTCTCTGTTGGCTTATTTGGTTCGAGTAAAATAGAATATCCGCCGGAAATTCTATTTCTAATCATTACTAATTACTATCAGATCGTTTTTGTAACTAATATCAGGGTGTTCGTACAATAAACTCGGCACATACTGTACGCTAGAAAAAGGAATCTTTCAGCTCCAATTACAACCAATGCTCTCTGAAAAAAGGGTTTTGTTATAATTCGCATGCCTAACGAAATGATGTATCTTTTTATTTAAATTCTGATGGGAACATGAATACGTTGAGATGCAGGTGCTTTCAGTAGCCCAGTAATAATTCGGTTCATATCGTTACGTACTATGAAATATTATGGACTGCGACTCATGCTTTTTTGCGGAAATTCAACTATAAAATACCCAATTTAACTTATAAGCACCTGTCAATATTCTACCTTAATTTGTTCCTAAACGTGAAGTATTGATCTTTAGAAAAGTTTAGGGGCTTTGGCAATGCCACTGCTATTTAGACGGGATTTTCACATATTTTTGTGACATGAATATTGATTTCCGGTATTCTTGAATGAAATTATATCGTAACTCCAAATAATCTATTCTTTTCTATATTCATCTATGATTCTTTGATCTTAATTACATGTGGATGAATTTCTTGCCTTTATGCACCAAGTTCTATTTGAAAAATTTTAGTTTCTGGAGTAAGCTTTCAGTGCATTGAAAACAAATGCATTTCGGAAGGTCATAATTTGTTTCAATGTAAAAGAATATTTAAGACCAATGTCTAAATCTATTCTTACATAATTTCCTATAGATTAATATACGTCGTTTGTTTTTTTAATAGCCATATTGTTCCCTCACTTTATCGTCTAAACAAATACTATTATCTTTTTTCAAGGTTTCTGACAGTTTTCCACTCTTTTTTGGAGATTTTGCATGATATATTGCTTTGCGCCTCAAAAATATGCCAAATATTTTGTTGCATAGTCTGCACCTCAACATGCGGTTATAGATTCAATACTAGTTCTGCCTCGTGAGTTCATCTAGTGGGCTTCGGTTGATCTTTCATGTACAAGCTCTTTGGTATCTGAATTAGAACTGAAATTTTTGTTTTCTTTAGACTTTTATCATTGTAGGTGTTGGTTATTTATTTATCATCTTTTACAGAGATTTTTTTAAAAATGATGTTCATACACATATTTTGTTGGTTTAGATAAGTTTTATTGATAATTTTGTTGGTATTTCTTCTCTTATCCCTGCTTATTCATTTCTATATGAATTATTCAAAGTAACGTTGAACAGTCTATTTGTATTTTTCTTATTATTTCATTTGATACCGGTTTCAGTCGACACTAAACTATTTTGGTGTTACGCATCACAATAATAATTTTAAAAACTATTAGAGTTTCTTTTAACTGTTCTGTTAATTATAAATATACACTTGACGTTTTTGAAACTACGTACCTATGAATAGGGAATATGGTATTGTGTTTTGTGAAATATAGGGATGATAACTCTTGCTTATTAGATTATTATAATCAACGTCAATCAAGTTGTGTTTTCTTTAAATTTACTTCAGTTTAACTCATACACCAATTACAAGTTTATGTACTTGGCTTGAAATCAAATTGTTTTTTTTGCCCAATTCAAAACAAGTTGAACGGGAACCTGAAACGTACTAGTTGAAAACCAAGTGGTTTAACCATTAATCTAATTCTACCACGCTAATACATATGTGAAATGATTTTAACTGAATAAACTGATGACAATTTTTCAGATCCTTTTCTGCTTTAATTGGAAAGCTAAAGAATACATAACGAGGATGGATGTTTAACAAACTGCACTAAACCAATTCAGATATATTTTGAATATAACCAACTCTTTTCTCGAAGTATAAAGCAGTAGTTTAATGGTTAAGGGATTCACCTCAAAACAAGTATGTTTTAAATTCGAATCCTTCTCCATTTACTTCATTCTGATCAGTGCAATCACACTGGCCTTCACATAGACAATGTCTCAAAATCTAATAAATGTAACTGTGTTTGTTAAACGAATTGGATTATAGTGATAACAAAGCACCACAAATACATCACTCAATTTTATTTTCTCCTCGATTCGAAATTCGATAGAGAAGTAAATCACCTAAACAAAATTTTGATTGCTAACTATTGTGTACTTTGCTCTGTTGTTTATGATCACCACTTAAGTTTTAGGACTTGACTCAAAATTTATTGCAAATCCATTACAAATTATAATTTTAAATTATTATTTTATTTTCTTCACCGGGGTTCACTTATTTTTTATTTGAATCTTGTCAGGTGGATGTACTTGGATCCCAGTGTTGATGTTCACAATATGTATGGCTACAAATCTACGAATATTCGTGTATTTATAAAGTTATGTTTGCAAATAAACTATTGATAGCTACGTTAGCCACTCATTGAGTAGAACCAATATCATATTGTATAGTCCATCGCATGATTTTTGATTAAGGTGGATTGATGTACACAATGGGAAGCCATGGATCTAAGTTTCATACTAGTTAGTGCTTACCAACAGTAAGTATTTTCAATATTGAGGAAACTGATGCCTCCTATGTAGTTTGATGTTCAGAGCTTTCTTGTCATTTGTCTCCAACTAGCATGGCACATCAAGTCTTGATAATTACATAGAAAAGCAGGTTTAAAAATGACTGATGGATCTCTTCTTGCAACTATTATTACTCATGAAATGTGAATGCGAATTTATTCACTTAATATTGACAGTATAAAAGTAAACTGATCTTTTGACTACTTTCTAATAAAACTTTATTCAATAGTATTTTTTTCGATTAATTTCACTGCTTACATGATCTGATTTTATTAAAGTCTGATTTCACGAAAGGATAAAGCTTATAAAACTTCTGCAAACTGAACCGTATTCTGTGGTTATTCCTCATTCGTTGAGGATTTCACAGGCATATGTATACGTTAGACTTAACTTGCTCTGGTACTTATAGCCTTACAATTATGTGAATTAAAGCTCAACTTTCGCTTTATCTACATTAATAATGACACTATGATCCAATGAAAATAATGATTACTTGACTGAATTCTTAATTTACTTAAATTATGAGTCTCAGTTACTCATTAAAATATCTAACTGTTCTTGACCGTGACAAGACGTTTGTTTATTAATCTATGGTTTCTTCGCTTATAGTTTGAAATGATAAAATTCACACTGTAGATCGAGTTTTGAAATAAAATAAATTACTAATTAATTTATGTATCTACAATTAGAAACTGTGTTACAAGAACAACTGAACATGGATTGTTATCTCAAAAAACTGCAACTTTTGAAATCAATAAGAATAATTAGCTTAGTTGTGAAAGTAATCAGTTCAATGAAGAAGTATTCTGCCATATAATTGATCAGTGTTAAGTTGAATCCCTGAAGCAGTATATCTAACCTCGGAGTTTTTCCTAAGTGTTCTATGTTTAGACATTGAGTTATTAACCAACTTCTTCCATTAGTTTTCAGCGTCAAAAAATTCGCAGTGAAACTTCGTCTTTCTTATTCAACCAGAATAGTGGTGAAACAAAAGAAGCTGCAATACGGAAGGTAGAAAATTACCAAATGTATACCGTTTTTTAATAACATTAATGAAAACTCCTAGATTGGCTTGTGACTCTTCTGCCTTGAAGACGAAAAACGTCTAACACGATAATTTTTTTCATCTAATTCCAAATTATCATTCGTTAGGAGGTTTTATACAATAGTAGGCAGATTTTTAAATAACTCCCCACAATCATTTTAAAAATCCCCCTTATTACCCCCAAGAGATATTGGTGAGTGGATCAAACTTTCAAGTCTGATTTCCACATAATACTCAAATCAATTTACTACTTATGGTTTAATTAAGTTTGTCAAACTAATTGCAACGTTTAAGCTAATATTATCTACTGAACTATATATAATGTGATTTGTCTGTACTTTAACTCCGAACGTGGAAAAAAGAATCGCTTCTAATTGGTCTACTTAACCAAAATTGATTTATTACGATAAAAACTCATCTCGTATTTCTCCCTATTCTTTCATCATCTGTTTAACGCCCACGATTTGTAAATGAGCACTTTTCTATACAGTTCAGCGTATTATCGACAGTCATTTTCTCCTTATTAAAATGATTCATGATAAGTTTGAATGTCAATAGCCTACTTTGGCAATATACACCCTAACCTGGAAACTATTATCTCGGTCGTAGTTGGTTTGTATATATATTCAATCTTAATTAAAGTCTTTTTGTCTAATCACTGTCACTTAATGTCGATGAGGTATTGTTTACTTTCGCACCACTTTAAAGAGTTAATCCATTCTATTTAATATATATATCTTCGATCATTTGAAAACATTCATAAGCCAAACAGTAATGATATAATCTGTGTAAATGCAACTGACATTGATTAAGTATTATGCACTGCGTCGTCGTTTAAATCACAGTCTGATCATATGACTGATGACACTATTGGTTTTCTTTAGTCTTGAAAAATGCTTTATTACATATATTTGTCTTAATAAACCACTGGAATCCATTAGAAATAAATGTATGAACGGTAGACATTGAAACTGATTTATAAGTAAATTGAATTACAGAAATTCATATTTCACTCCAATGATTTGAATAAAAATCAAGTCTGCGTGTCAGACATTTTTATGTTTTTCGCTTTGTATACTGTTTTGTTGTTAGTCCCTCACATGAATCATGTATGCAGTAAAACTACCTTTATGTTGGTTTCGTGAAAAACAACATCTGAATTAGTATAGGATTGTTCCTAATTCAACAAAGCCATTTATGAACCGTGAAATCGAATTACCGAAAATACTTATTTACCTAAAATGTCATAGACTCATCGTGATTCTCGAATAATTTCACTCATACTTTTTCAAGCTATCTTATCTGATTTCTTTTTTTTCAAAGTTTTGTGGATTCTTTAAACTTTTAATGTTGAATGAGCAGTTAAATGGCTCGAAAGTATTATCTACCTTTATGTTATTATTATGTTACTTATCTAGGTTACCGGCTAATTGAATACAATTACAAACTTTTTACACGTCACTTGCAATCAGTTTCATATTTTGTGTGCTTACTAAAATCGATGTTTTTCTGTAGATTTGGAAAATGTTAGTGGGAACCAGGATAAGGTAGTACTAGTTCTATGTCATATACTTTTAGATTGAGTCCTATTGAAAGAAGTGAACTTTCCATTCGCGCGATGATCGTAACCTATTATTGTAGATGTAATGATCATTCATTTTGTAACGTCCTCTAAATGTTCAACCTAATGTCGTTCCGTGTATATTCAATTTCATTCGTGGATTTTGACCATATTTCTTATCTTTAATCTGGCACTTTGGTCGAGATCAATACTTCCTTTTTCCTACTTTTCGGCTTTTTTCATTTTATTCCCCACTGTGTGTAGTGGAAGGTATGGCTAGTTTAACCGTTACACACTTGTATCAAATGTCACATTGTCTACAGTTGACCGATCACTAATGGGGGTTGTTATTTATTCATTTGACGGAGCATAACCAGTGTTCTCAATACTAATTACAATCATAAATTGTCTTTTGAATGGAATAACTTTGGTATTTTATTCTATTAATTTTATCGATGTTTTCAGTTATTTCAATTATTAAGTGAAGTGTGAAAATGATATTTGGGTGTAACTTGATAAACTATTAATAACTACTTATCCATTGTTTTTATTATTTAGCATAACATTTCATTAAGTTTTATTTTAATGAATTTATTCACCATTGCCTATCATGTTTTACGTTAATTGGGCATACTTTGTATCTGCTTCGTCAATATGTAATTTTCATTGGAATCAGTACTTACCTACTATCCGGTACAATTATCAGATGAAATTATCACGTTCTAATAATTTCAAAGTAGAGCTGATATTGCTTAAAATTTAAGATTGTTCATGCGTTAACACTCTCATTACCGCCCCTATTCTTTTACTTATTACATAACAAACCATAAATTGCGGATTTTTACAAATTTATATTTATTGATTCACAACAGTGTTATTCATTTAATTACCTTCCCTCTAATCACCCCATAAGTTATAAATTTGAAAAGAAAATATTGGCTCAGACCTGTTTATCTACTTTTTTTAGTCTGTTATTAACTTCTAATGAGTCATTGCAGTTTAAATATTTGTTGTTTAGAGGAAATTTATTTTCCTCATAAGGTATGAGTCGTTCGTACTTCCCTCCTTTCTATGTTCATTTTTCACTAGGTCTACTGACTTTGTATTTCTCTTCTAGGTGTTACTCACCTTGGTGTCTATGCTACTTATCTTTTATCATGACCTCAAATACCATGGTGAATTGTTCTACTTCTCCTTTTTTTCTATATATACACAAATGACTCACCGTTCGATTGATTCAATAAAATTACTTGTCCTAAACACATAGCCATTGTGCGTCTATACCGCTGATTACATGTACTTGAAATAGAAACGGAGATATTGAACATAGAAACTTACATGGTTAAAGTATGCCAAATGTTTCAGTTTGTTTTTCATAAGTAATTATTCACCCAGTGGGTAAGATTCACTAAAATGTATAGTTTCTTTCAGTAATTGATTGGAGTAAATAAAATGAACTTTATATTAGTTGTACTTGTAATTCAAAGGTGTATAATTAAAGGAAGTAAAAACAGTTGAACCATGTCTCAAATATTTTATTATCTGACGTGCTTTCATTTTATTGAATGAAGCAATTGACTTCTCATGTCGAAGGATATTCATCTTGTTAATTTCCTTCTATTCGTCGAATGTGAGCTATGACATTTAGGATCTATGTACATACTGAGATTAGATCCAAGTTATTAGATAGGGATTGTAAATTGATTGACGAGGTAGCAAATCTTCACCGACTGAAGTAGATGAGATATGTATTACGTAAACCCAGCCCACTACCTACCTCTACAGGGTATGTTTTTTGTGACTTTAAGTTCGGCTAGTTATCACGTAATTTAGTCGCCAATCGAAATACAACTTATTCACTCTTGTACTGTACTAAACCAATGACGTTCGACCAGTCTGATCAGCCTAGCATCCTTATTCGTCCTTTGTTTGCCTAGCCCGTCCAATTTAGTCCAGTACATCAATAACAGTTCCCACTCTGCAAATCATTCATTTCAGACATACTTGGTTTATATACCAGACAAATAGACCGTTTCGCACCATAAAATAGAAAATAACATTTATACAAGATCAGGCCGAAAAGTAGCTGTGAACGTGGGAGACGGTAATCAAATAACTGAGTATAACTTAAGAACAGTAAATCGTACAATAATAATCTATAGATCAAAATGAGGCTTATAATAAGGGGAATATAGATATATGTAATCTAGTCACCGAATAGTTATACGATAGGAATATATATATATATATATATATATATATATATATATATATATATATATATATATATATATATATGAGTCCATTAATAGTTCTCGGAAGTTACTCTTAATTTCATCTTCTCTAGGATATAACAATGTAGTCTGGTTTTTGAGTAGGTGGGTAGAAATCAAGAAGTGGACAAGCCAATATGTGGTATCATTCCATAAAGTTATTGCCTGATGAACTGAGTCACGTAGGTTGGTGTAGTCTATTTGGTTGGGGTTGTGATTATCGTAACCAGGGGTTGGAGATATTGAATGACATGTCTCAAAACCGTCCCTAGTGGTATAGATACATTTACTTGTTGTTTCTCTTTATATTTTTTAGTCATGAAATCTCATTATACTTTCTTTGTGTACTTAATCTCTTTTAAAACCACTAATACAGTTACTACTACTCTGTGATTTACCATGATAATGTTTCAACTCAAACCGATGCATATGTACATTGTATACAACTAACTGACTAGCCTTCTTTTTTCTCACTTAAAGCAGTAAAATAATTGGAAGGAAGTTTGTATAGAATATTGACTTGATAAAAGAAGCAGAATAAATCTTAGTTGATTAGGTCTTATAAGTTAAGTAGATTAGCTCAGTTTGTAGGTTTTTTTAAAAAGAAAACTGACTAATATATATATTAATAGAGTACTGTCAAATGAGTCTACCTGTTAGAAAACAATCCAAATGAATAAACACTGGTATTGATTTTTAGTTAAGTTAGTGAACAACCAGTAGTATCATGAACCATTGTTGAAAGTTTATTCCATGTAAATAGATTGTCGAATATCAACAGATTCTTCTATGAGGTTGATCTTTTAAATTTATTAATCACTAGTAAGGTAGCTTAGAAAATCATGTAGACATAATATTACATTCAGTCATAAGATTATAATAACTACTCTACTGATCAATACGTGAGATGTACCCAATTCAAACGTCCACCTTAAATACTAAAATAAACTCCGAATATATTATGTACCGTATTAGTAATACTATTAGTTATCATACACTATTTGGTTATTGAGTAATGACTAACATTATATTATTTATCACTTAGCATTAATAGACTTTCCGTCCATTAACTTTTAATGTAACTGACAGAACAGGCTCAATTCAACTAACATATTTTTTCTTTGAATTGCGATCCTTGTTAAATAAATAGACTGTCGCATTTTCTTACTGGCCTACTATCCAATTACATTGACCAACTGGTTGTTATTAAATAACCAACCATATAAATCGATTTTATTTTGTTTGTATGTATAAAACTTTACTTGGAAATAGAATATAAATCATATAATGTTCATTTACGTGCGTTTGTTGAGTGTGGGCGTCCGTGTGAGCATGTATCTTCTCTAAGATTGTTTATATATGTATAATTTTTGGTGGAACTCAACTCATAAAAATCAATTTTTGTTAAAGAAATTATATCTTAACATACATGATACCATGTGACTTATTACCATATCATAGAATTTAAAAATAGATAAGTCAAATATATAAGTTTTGGATATTTCATTATATCATTGAAAATTGTTTTCAATATGTATGGTTACATTTATCTCTATTTAATTAAATATGTATAAGATGGTGTACAAAGAGATGTTGCGTAACTACAGACTCATTGAAAATAGAGGATTATCGATAACAGTGAAGAATCATATAATTCCTTAATGTTGGTTTAACTATCCTCTATAATATTCACCTTTATGCTCACCAGCAGAGTTGAAAATCACAGTTAAGTGGTTTATGAAGTGTAATATTACGGGATGACTACAACTAGACAACTACTGAGAATCAGGTAGCACTAGGCAATGGTTTCTTCTTTGTATGGAACTCTTTAGAAATGGGAATTAATGACCTTATCACCGCCTCATGGTGGACACTCAATCTTCAGACCTCTGAGTTAGGATCCAACTGTTTACATTTCTAACTTCAATCAATTTGCGATATCGCTCGACCATCATCCATTTGCATTGGTGATATTTGTCTCACGCCTGAAATGAGTGTGCTCCTATGAACACTGCTTCTTGCTAGAACTCGGGAAATCCCCTTTCAAAGTTAGTAAACATGGAGATTTTTCAATTTGAAGTTTCACATTACTAATTAACATTGGAAACTGAAATACATACACAGTTGAATATTTGGCTAATTAGTACAAGACAGAAACTCAATGTGCTCTGACATTCAGATAAAATTATTTTTATATCAGTCACTCCCTTATATAATGACTAAAAATAAGGTCAAAGTGTGTTTTGTAGTACTACCATTGATTGTTGTTCGTACAGTTTGATTATTCAGCTGACACGTTTAAATTTCACATTGATTACTTTTTGTTTAATTAATAAGCTAATGCCTTGTTCTTTCACTCATGATGATAGCTTCATAGACTATTTCATAATAAGTATAGATATTCATAAAATAATATTCAGTTGATCATTCACAAGTCTACATAAATGGTGACTGTGATTCGTTTACTTTCAGGAGGGATTCCACATCATTATGAATTGGTACACTTCCATGTATCACTGTATATTTGTGAGATTCTCTATATAGATAGACTATTAGCAAAGTGTAATGTTTCAGCTTTTCAAACCGATCTTGATTATTAGCTTTCCAAATCAAAATAAGTAACATCAATTCAAAGCTAAATATCTTAAGGGCAACACTTTTCTTTGTGTGATTCGTAAATGTTTAAACCTATGTTTATTGTACTAGAAACGAACAATACACTGAAGGTTTATCTAAAAAAATTGTGATAGTTAAACTGTTGTCTATTTACCAAATATTTAAATGGGTATAGCATCAGTAAAAACTGCTCACCTGATTCAACAAATGCTTTGTCAAGGTAATTTTTACAAAACACTATTTACTATAAATATGATTCTGATATATTGTGATCATATCTACTAAACATAATTAACTCTAATCATAAAACTACTTTAACTAATGATAGCTAAACATCTGATCGATGCTTTAATAATTCTTCCAAATCTATTATATATTTTTATAACAACTTTAAGACCTTTTATCTAGTCTATATCATGTACGGTAGGTTGATTAGCTCTTTTGTATAGAAAGCATCATTGCCTGAATTAATACTTGTTCTTTGTATTACACTATGAAAAAAGACTATGCTATAATATTCTATTATTTTATGATCAGAGTCTTTACTACTGTCGTATAAAATTTCTTTCTTTCGCGTTTATTGACTAATTATCTGTACATTGTGTTTTGAAATGTGTAGCGATTCTAGTAGTTCACTTCCATTCAAAGTATTTTGTTATGTCTCTCCCAGAAATTTCAGTAAATAAAGAAAATTAGATTAATAATTTTATATATATGTGAAGAATTTTGCAGTAAAGTAATAATCGCTTAATAGATTTACTGAATTTTCTCTTTGTATATTTTGTATGAAAGCTATAGGTAAGAGAAATGGATATTTAACAGTGCCTAACTGTCCGATGGCGCTTATTCTCTTTTTGTCTTATTTAGAGGGGAAAATGCCAATACAACAACTACTACTATTACTACACCTAATGATCATTTTGAAAAGTCTGAAGCATCAACCGATTCTAGCTTACAAACTGGAATTTACTGGCATCCAGGTCCACCTCAGCCGTTGTCTGAATTGATGTACGAGTTTCGTTCAGGTAGTCCAGGAACAACTTATTTGATCAAAGCTATTTGCAAACGTTCTGGATGTCATTGCGCCTTAAGAAATTATGACAGTCTCATGTTATATCCAGTACCAGATTCAACACTGGCCTCTGCAACTTGGGAATTATGGACAGCTAAAGACAAGAATCCACGTTTTCCTACCTCTTCCTGTGAAGTTCAATCAAAATTAATTCTTTTTCGACAATGTCGAGGATGGTATGAAGTTTTGAATGAGAATCACCAGCCAACTCCTCATATAACAACACTTGAACAGGTGAGGCGCACCAGAGCTTCAACTTTCATTGTTCGACAGGACATGCGTTGTTTAGTCGCACCTCCAAATTTAATCATACCTTCTTCAGATGAAAGAAGAGACTTAAATGATGATACTTCACCATATTCAATACCATCAAGTCTGGTTACATTGGCATGTTCACCAGAAACATTGGCTAATTCAAAACCGGATTTTGTTCGTGCTGGAACACTTCTACGGTTTATCGCTTATCTACCTCAATGCTCAGTTAAACGTGGAAAAAAAACCAAGGATTTAGGCCTTGTACTAGCAGTTGAACGATCCAGTTGTTCGAAACAACCATCCATTCATTCCGATCTACTCCCGGTTAGACCTCTTTCACGTACTATTTACCTTGGCGTAGAAGATTCTACACCTGCAGTGTTTCCTCCTAAACTCTCCTTAAGTGTTATCGCTGGGCCAGAAAATATTTCTGGAGTTCATTTGTTATCTGGTCTACTTCGTAAATTCCGCTTACCTTTGTCAGTTAGACCCATACCTTTACCAGACTCTTATAACTATACAAGCAACACATCATCTATGAGACGTCCATCACTTATGAATAGTAATCCCAAAGTAACTTGTGGTCTAGTTGCTGTTCAACCACTTTCATTCACTGAAAAACATTTTTTAAGATTACACTCTTTATATAGAGGTGATATTTTAATTATTGCTCCAGTGTCTTCACCAGAACGTTTGTTTTTGATTACACCATCAATGTTACGTGATCATTCATTTCAAACTGGTTATACGCATGACCCAACTTATGCTCTTTCCATGGAAAATCATCGTATACAAGCATGCAATTTTCTAGCTATTGCTCATGCTCAAGAAACACTCAATTATTTAGTTCGGCATATGCAAGATATAACACGTGAGCCTCGTGATTCTTATACGTCCCGTCAACAAGCGAAACAACGAAGTGATTTGATGCCAACTCCAGAATCTTATATGACACAAGAAGAAATTTACAAAACATACGATGAAATTGATGATATCTACTTTTATATTCGCCATGGTTATTATCCATCAAAAATACGTAAACCAGATGATCTAAACAATAAAATAGATTCTATATCTAATACTAAGTTAAAAGCTCATAAATATTCCACTAATTCATCACATACATCAGATGACATGCCTGGAAAAATGAATTGTCAAAAAGATGGTGGATTATCCCGTTCGAATATGGCAACAGCTGAAGACTTACTTGCTGCTTCGCTGCACACACCTTCACATCATGACTCAACTATACCACCGCAACAACCTATTAGTCTAACTAGATCATCAAACAATAATAAAATTGTTAGTTCAAATCAACATAATATCAATAACATGATTAATGCCACGTTGGCCACTTTAGCCAGTTCAACATATCGTGTACAGCCAAAAGAATATGGAATATAATAAGGTATTATTTAATAGTTGGGAGACAGTAAAGAACTTGAAATTCTCTCCGTTCCTTTCAGCAGAAATAATTTTTCTTAGAACATTTTTCTGACTTTATTCTGTGTAATCACTTATGTATTCGTTTGCTGAAAAGTGTATACAAACAAATAATCGCATTATCTTATCTAATTAATGTCTCTTCATATTTGAAATTTGTAACTGTTACTATGATATCTATAAAAAGCTCTAAGGACTAATATAAACATTCCACCCATCTGTTCATCCAACCAACTCTCCTTCCTTCTTTTCTTTGCTTCATGATGTAAACGGTATTTATATTCCTTTTTGAAAAACATTAATTTTTGGCTGTTGTATTTGCAAACTTTTGCTTATAAGTTGCCTTTTTTTCCTTTCATTAACTATTCCTATCACTGCTATATGAACAACTTTTTTCAAACGTTATGAATCTGATCTATCCAAATTCTCTTTCAAATATATATATCGGGGGAGAGAAAGAGTGATCCGTTTTACCTAAATCAATGTTTATAATTATTTTTCATTAGTCTTGAGGAATTTACACGACCATTAAACTCTATGTGACACTAGTTTTATCATGTTATGTATGGTTGCAGTTGTTTTCCAAATAAACAAGCAAAAAAACCCTAGTACTCAAAGTTCTTGACCGATTTATTTCAATGATAAAAATTCCTATTTGTGTTTTAATGATCTGTATTGGAACAATTCATATCTGTAATTAATAAATAAACTTAGTTTATCTATTGTCATGATTGTTCAATGAGAAAAGGATTCCATGTATCATCATAAAATTCCCTTTAAATTTTGTATATAAAATAATAGTGTTTTTTTAAAAATATAAATTTAACTTATCTGTCCATATATTTTATCTATTAACTTCAGTGAATGACAATTGTGTGTTTAAGTCACTTGTCTAAATTGTCATTCCTTCTTCTCATTACGTTTTGTCCTGTCATATTTGTTCCGTATTGTTTTGCTTCTTTGAAACATTACTACTTTTTAAAAAAAAAATATTAGAATGCTTATTTTACTACTTTCCCTTTGTCTAATCTTCATTTCATCTTGCAACATTGTTTTGTGGTGATTTTGATAATTTAACTGGTTTTGTTTTCTCTCTTGTTATCTATTTGACTTCGTATTCAATATTTTCAGTGTAGAAATACACGTGATTAGATTCAAAGTAACTCTGGTTAGTCAATCAATGATTATTGTCCACTCCATCATCTTCGTTTATTCCTAACTTTCACTGCTCTTTCTTTCGTTGTTCGTTATGTATCTTCTTTTCTTCCTAATAATATATTTCGTAGGGAGTGCGTTCTCTATACGTGTGACTGATGATTGATAAGTGTATTTCTGAGTGATGATAGTTTCTTTCTCTCTTTGTACTTTGTACTTTTCCGTATAAGATAGGCAATTTTATCTTAATATTTGTGTAATTAATCTCTTCGGATATCGTTGTTTATTTTGCTTGTATTCACATTGTTTTTCGAATTACATTATTTGTCTTTTTCGTTTTCTGAATTATATTCATTAGTCTTGAATTTATGATTAGTGATAAACGATGTCGTAAGGTACGAAAACATATCATATGGTGCTCTAAGTAATTCAGATATTCATTAAATCAACATAAATATTTAGGTGTAGGTGCTATGGTTTCTGCTTTAAACTACACTTTATTACATTACCCAGCTATCCGAATCGGAATAAATAGAGTTGAGTTAGGATCTACTATCTGCTGGTCATAGGCTGAGCACTTTAATCACTAGGGTAATGATCCATATACAAGTTTCATACTCTGTTTAGTGTCATTTAAATATGCGTTACAATTAGTGTAAACCTCAGCCTTTTTCTCCTCAAATGCACCCACTAAGCTACTACAAAAAACCCAGGTCAATCATATGTGAGAGTACGTAGTTCAGAATGTCCATAAAAGTCATCAGAACAAAGAGAACATTTGATATTGCTTCAGATAGCTACCTGGTGGTGAGCAATTTAAGACTAAAGCTAAAAAAGCATTGAATAGGCTGCACTACACAGGTTTAATATAGCCTTTCTTTGAGATGCAAACAAACTCAAGACACTGCTCAGCAATGATTTCTGGGTGCTGCGTGATCTACTATGTGAATAAGAAAACATCATAGTGAGCGATTGGGAAGGGATCGAAAAATCAATAACTTCGACGTGCCAGAAAGTACTGGGCCCCAAGAAGCATCAGGATAAATAGTGGATCTCTGTAGGTAAATAATTAAAAGGAAATTGAAATTAACAATAGCTGAACAAGAGTAGAGAAATCGAAGGCATTGACCGAATATACAGGAGCAAACAATAAAGTGAAGAGGAACATCGGAGCCGAAAAGCAGAAATACGTGGAAGACCTTGCAGTGACAGCGGAAAAAGCTGCATGTGTGGAAAATATGAGGCAATTATATAATATAACGAAGGAATTAACAATAAAATATAGCTTCTTAGGAACCTGTATCGACTTAAAAACACATAATCCTTGTATCACTTTTATGATTATCGCATATAACTAACTGATGATATCGAATTAACACGTTACTCATTTTCGAGTGAAGATAAAAGTAAATTTTCGTGTGTCACAACTCCTAACAAGATTTGTATCTCAAAACAGCCAGAAACTAAGCCCACTAGAGTTACCCAGACGGGAATATACAGAAAAGAAAGCGAATACTAGAAAAAATAATAATTTGTAGGTACTTTGACTCATAAAAAAGCATGACCTCATTAAAATTTGGAGGGATAAGCCAAACTGGAATACGATCAGTCTGTTAAATAGAGCAAGAACAAAGATTGGTGCAGAATAATATGAATTCATTTTATTTCGTTAGGTTCTCATCAGCTGCTTACATCCTAAATTATTTGAAATTCAACATTATTACAGATATTGACATATTTATACATAAGAGTGTTGTGATTAAGGATCAATACATGTGTATGATGATGTAGAAAATATTCAGATAGAGTTAATGAGCTCATAAAATGTTTGATTCGAATAAATAAATAAAGTTAGAGAGTGAAAGTTCTGGAACATTGAAATAGTGATTAGAACTCATGAAAATAGATTAATAGTAATAAAGAAAATATGAATTAAAACCAATCATTTATGTATGATGTAATTTAAACTTCAGAAAGAGTTGGAAGATGGGGAATGACGTAATAAATAAATAAATAGGAGTAAATGAATAGAAAGGGTGGGGATTATTGTTACCAGGGTAAAGAAAGATTTATTACTGTCTCTTTTTGTATACATAGATCTGGTTTTAAACGTTTGATTGCTATCGCTTCAGCGAATTTCAAAAGGTTAGAGTTTGATTGTTTGTTGATCACCTTGAAGGACTTCAGTATATCAACTTCATGTCCTGTATCAAGGAGATGTCTTGCGATAGCACTGCTGAATGCGTTTAATCCATTTAACCGTAAACTTTGCGGAATATGTTCTTTGATCTGCAAAGTAAAATATGCAAGAAATTCCACGTAACTTTGACAAAGACTCTGTCAAAAGAACACTTATGTTTTGGCTTTCCAGAAAACCCCGAAAAGTTTCTCTATAATCTATCAACAACGAAGTTAAATCAGATAGAAACAGAAGCCTTGTCACTTGGATTTAAATTTCATATCCCCAAAACACATGCCGACAGAATCGACACAGAAACTCAATTTGAGAATTTATTTAATCAAACTAAAGAGCTGCACCCAGTTAGTGAGGAAAAGAAAGGCTGGCTTAAATCTAAACTAGTCGATATTGCAAACCAATATCTTGTTTCGCCCACACCACAGTCTAAGCTTCTATCCAAAGACCACCAAATAGCATTACGAAATATTAAACGAAATGACGATATAATGATATTACGGTCAGACAAAGGCTCAAGTGTTGTTCTAATGGACAAAACAGATTATGTCTCTAAGATGAAGTCCATCTTCAACGACCATATGAGATTCAAGTTATAAAAAAGTAACAAAGACTTAACTGATTCCATTGAGAAAAGAATCACCAAAGTACTCAGAGATCTTCTGAAAAAGAAGATGATCGATAACAATACTTACAATAATCTACGACCTCGTGGGTCTCGTTTGCCCCACATGTATGGATTACCAAAAATACATAAACAAGGTTATCCTCTTAGACCTATTTTGTCAATGATCAATTCACCATACCACAAAGTTGCACGATGGTTGGCAGATAAGTTAGAACCAGTGCGTCAACGATTAGCCACCTATACACTAAAGGATTCATTTGTATTTGCTGACAGCATGAATCACATAAATATTGCTGGTAAGTTTATGGTTTATTTTGATGTAACATATTTGTTTACAAAAATACCACTTCTTGAAACCATAGACATAATTTGTCAACATTCTGACATCCTATCTCTACCAGTACCAGAATTCAAACGACTATTACTCATTTGTACAAAAGATGTTCAGTTCCAGGTCAACGATATCAAATACAAACAAACCGACGGTGTAGCGATGGGAAGTCCGTTAGGTCCTGTCCTAGCAGATATTTTCATGGCTAACCTCGAAAAAAACCAAACTCAAACGAGCGATTGATGAAATGACGTATTATTCGAGGTATGTTGATGATACCTTCATCGTATGTAATAATAAACAACATGCAATAAATCTGCTAGAGTTTTTCAACAAAGCACATCCGAATATCCATTTCACTATGGAACATGAAAAAGAAAACAAGTTCCATTTTCTCGATATCGCGATGAAAAGAAGAAAAGATGGTACGATTCAACGTTCAGTTTATAAGAAAGACACATGGAATGGTAGTTATCTTAATTTCAATAGCTTTTGTCCAATCAGTTACAAAAAAGCACTGGTCAAAACACTGTTTCACAGAACAGAAAGAATTTGTACTTCCGATACACTAGAAGAGGAAGTTATGAATGTTAAAAAATAATGGATACCCACTGAAATTTATTGAAAAATACGGCAAATGTGAAGATAAAAAACCGAAAGAAATTACAGCAAATAAAAAGCCTATTTTTATTCAACTTCAACTCAAAGGTGACGACATCACAGGATTAATCAATATGAGGCTAAAAACTGCACTGACGAGAACTTATCCTGCAGCAAAATTGATTGTCCTGTCTAAAACAACATGTTCTTTGACACAATCAAAGGTCGACAGGTATCCCTTTCATGTTACCACCAATTGTGTATACAAATTTACATGTACCTGCCAAAGCAGTTACATTGGTAGAACAGAAAGGAGAGCCTACGTCCGATTCAAAGAACATATTCCGAAAAGTTTACGGTTAAATGGATTAAACGCATTCAGCAGTGCTATCGCAAGACATCTCCTTGATACAGGACATGAAGTTGATATACTGAAGTCCTTCAAGGTGATCAACAAACAATCAAACTGTGATACGTAGTTTTGTCGTCGCTTAAATCGGACGATGTTCGTTGAAGGGCTCACCAATGTTGCGGCCCGTGATCTGACTCCATTCAGATTGTATGAATGTTTGTTATCACCTATTCTCGTATATCATAGTCGACTTAGATCGCGTTATCCAATAACGGAAATTAAATAAGTCGAATAACGAGAATTGACTTGACAATACATATATTTCGTATATGGAGCGAATGAAACAGAGCCAAACAAAATGACGCACAGGGAGGATGGCTGGGAAGCCAACTCCATTTTAGTCAAGAGTTACTCCATATTTATAGGTTGACAAAATAAAGCTACAGACATGTGATTAATGCGATAAGAAGGGCACACACATATACGCTCATATAAAAACAGTCAGGACTGATAAGCGAATAATTAACAAGGTCAAAATATGACTCAAGTAGAATGAATTAAATAGGATGTCCACAAGTTAGAATAAGGTAGATGGGCTTGCCCTAATAACTGACACTACAAAACTCTAACCTTTTGAAATTCGCTGAAGCGATAGCAATCAAACGTTTAAAACCAGATCTATGTATACAAAAAGAGACAGTAATAAATCTTTCTTTACCCTGGTAACAATAATCCCCACCCTTTCTATTCATTTACTCCTATTTATTTATTTATTACGTCATTCCCCATCTTCCAACTCTTTCTGAAGTTTAAATTACATCATACATAAATGATTGGTTTTAATTCATATTTTCTTTATTACTATTAATCTATTTTCATGAGTTCTAATCACTATTTCAATGTTCCAGAACTTTCACTCTCTAACTTTATTTATTTATTCGAATCAAACATTTTATGAGCTCATTAACTCTATCTGAATATTTTCTACATCATCATACACATGTATTGATCCTTAATCACAACACTCTTATGTATAAATATGTCAATATCTGTAATAATGTTGAATTTCAAATAATTTAGGATGTAAGCAGCTGATGAGAACCTAACGAAATAAAATGAATTCATATTATTCTGCACCAATCTTTGTTCTTGCTCTATTTAAGATAATAAAGGGAACTATGTGTATGAAAGATCAGTTTGTTGTTAGCCAAGAAGAAGTGACCACCTAAT